TTTAAAGGGAAAACACAACAATATTTGTATATTGCGCCTCTAAAGTTACAGAAATGTGTACTGGGGGGCTGGTCAAGGATATTAGAGGGTCATTACATTGTCTCTCGACTGGCTGGTGCGCAAACTTGCATGCTTGGCTGCAGGGCCACGGATAAGGGGGTACCACCAGTCCTCATGTACGGGGCCCAAATAGGGGGGCCACCTCCTCCCTTTAAACCCGAACACATATTAACCCCTCGCCTACTGCGCACTTCTACCCCCTTCCTGCCCAGGCCAATGTTCAGCTTTCAGCGCTGTTGCACTTTGAATGACAATTGTGCGGTCATGCAACACTGTACCCATATGACATTTTTATCATTTTTTTTCACACGAATAGAGCTTTCTTTTGGTGGTATGTAATCTCCGCTGGGGGGTTTATTTTTTGCGCTATAAACAAAACAAAATTAAGCAAAAAATTTGAAAAAAAAAAGTTTTTCTTTGTTTCTATTATAAAATGTTGCAAACAGGTAATTTTTCTTCTTCACTGATGTGCATTGATGAGGCTGCACTGATAGGAAGCACTGATGAGCTGGCACTGATGATGCTGCACTGATATGCAACAATGATGGGCACTGATAGGTGGCACTGATGATGTGGCATTGATGGGCACTGTTAGGCGGCACTTATGAGGTGGCACTGATAGGGGGCACTGATGAGCTGGCACTGATGATGCTGCACTGATATGCAACAATGATGGGCACTGATGATGTGGCACTGATGATGCTGCACTGATTTGCAACAATGATGGGCGCTGATAGGTGGCACTGATGATGTGGCATTGATGGGCACTGATAGGCGGCACTTATGAGGTGGCACTGATAGGCAGCACTGATGAGCTGGCACTGATGCTGCTGCACTGATATGCAACAATGATGGGCGCTGATAGGTGGCACTGATTATGTGGCATTGATGGGCACTGTTAGGCGGCACTTATGAGGTGGCACTGATAGGGGGCACTGATAGGCAGCACTGATGAGCTGGCACTGATGATGCTGCACTGATATGCAACAATGATGGACACTGATAGGTGGCACTGATGATGTGGCATTGATGGGCACTGATAGGTGGCACTTATGAGGTGGTACTGATAGGCAACACTGATGAGCTGGCACTGATGATGCTGCACTGATATGCAACAATGATGGGCACTGATAGGTGGCACTGATGATGTGGCATTGATGGGCACTGATAGGCGGCACTTATGAGGTGGCACTGATAGGCAGCACTGATGAGCTGGCACTGATGATGCTGCACTGATATGCAACAATGATGGGCACTGATAGGTGGCACTGATGATGTGGCATTGATGGGCACTGATAGGCAGCACTTATGAGGTGGCATTGATAGGCGGCACTGATAGAAGCACTGATGAGCTGGCACTGATGATGCTGCACTGATATGCAACAATGATGGGCACTGATAGGTGGCACTGATAGGCACTAATAGGCAGCACTGATAGGTGGCACTGATGAGCTGGCACTGATGATTCTGCACTGATATGCAACAATGATGGGCAGCACTGATGGGCACTGACTGACAGCATTGGCTGGTGGCACTGCTGGGCACTGACTGGCGCACTACTGGGCACTGATGGTTGGTACTGCTGGGCAGCACTGATGGGTGGCACTGATGGGCACTGACTGGCGCACTACTAGGCACTGATGGGTGGTACTGCTGGGCAGCACTGATGGGTGGCACTGATGGCCACTGGTGGGTGGCATTACTAGGCACTAATGGGCACAGGTGGGTGGCACTGCTGGGCACTGATCAGCAGTGCCCTGATGATTGGTGCCGATCTGTACTCTGACAATTGCCGGTTATCAGCAGTACTTTCCTCATGCTGTGACACTTGAGGAAAGTGCAGCCAATAACCGGCAACTGCATTTACCCGGCGATCTGCTGTGTCATTGGACACGGCTGATCACATGGTAAAAGGCCACTGTGATTGGCCTTTTACCACATCACATGATCAGCTGTGTCCTTAGGAGATTGCCGGATGCGCGCACCCGGGGCGCGTGCTCCCTGGGGTGCGCTGGAGGGCGCATTCTGGGAGGACGTCATATGACGCCCTCCCAGAACTGGCCGGCCGCAGTGCTGCTATCATTTGGCTATCTGCGGTTGGCAAGTAGTTAATAACACGGGTTCTGAGGCTAATTTAATGCAGATAAGGCATTAATCAGCCCCAGAACCTGTGTCATTAATATGTGTTCAGAGAGCCATACAGTTGCCTGGGCCCCCCTGCTGTCCTGGGCCTAGCAACCCTAGGCCCAGGACAGCAGGGGGGCCCAGGCAACTGGGTGAATTGGATGTGGGCAGGGAGGGTGATCGGTATGGTGGGAGGGGGGGGTAATTACTGGAACCCTGTATGGCTCTCTCTGCAGCAGCTGAAAGCTGGCTTCTTCTCCTCTCCCTCCTACCGGGTTTCAGCTGCTGCAGAGAGAGCCTTACAGGGGATTGGTTCCAGTTATTACCTGCAGCAGTTGAAAGTTTGCTTCTTCTCCTCTTGCTCCTATCTTTCAGCTGCTGCAGAGAGAGCCTTACAGGGGATTGGTTCCAGTAATTACCTGCAGCAGTTGAAAGTTTGCTTCTTCTCCTCTTGCTCCTATCTTTCAGCTGCTGCAGAGAGAGACTTACAGGGGATCGGTTCCAGTTATTACCTGAAGCAGCTGAAAGTCGGCTTCTTCTCCTCTCCCTCCTACTATCTTTCAGCTGCGGCAGACAGAACCATGCAGGGGATCGGTTCCAGTAATTACCTGCAGCAACTGAAAGCTGGCTTCTTCTCCTCTCCCTCCTACTGTCTTTCAGGTGCTGCAGAGCCTTACAGGGGATCGGTTCCAGTAATTACCTGCAGCAGCTAAAAGCTGGCTTCTTCTCCTCTCCCTCCTACTGTCTTTCAGCTGCTGCAAAGAGAGCCAGGGGATTGGTTCCAGTAATTACCTGCAGCAGGGGCTTCTTCTCCTCTTCCTATTGTAATTCACTGCTGCAGAGCCTTACAGGGGATCGGTTCCAGTAATTACCTGCAGCTGAAAGCTGGCTTTAGTCTTCTCCTCTCCCTCCTACTGTCTTTCAGCTGCTGCAGAGCCTTACAGGGGATCGGTTCCAGTAATTACCTGCAGCAGCTGAAAGCTGGCTTCTTCTCCTCTCCCTCCTACTGTCTTTCAGCTGCTGCAGAGAAAGCCATACAGGGGATCAGTTCCAGAAATTACCTGCAGCAGCTGAAAGCTGGATTCTTCTCTCCGTCCTATTGTCTTTCAGCTGCTGCAGAGAGAGTCATACAGGGGATCAGTTCCAGAAATTGGCCCCCGCCACACCCATCACCCTCCCTGTGCACCATACATTTTCCCCTGCTGCCCAGCCCCCCTACCCGTGTGCCCTCATCCGCACGGTGCTGCCGGCTTCCCTCCTTTATTTTCAGCAGCTGCAGGCACACAGTAAGATCTTTCAGGATGGAGAGTGGGGGAAGAATCTGGCAAATACGTCACATTTACCAGCTCTGTCGTTTCCCAAATGAACACAATGAGCGATCGGTACCAATCACTCACTGTATACATTCATAACTGAAGCCTAGTAAACTATGTTTTTCTTGAAAGGGGGGTGGGGGGGCCCTGCCAGCTTGGCTGTATGGGGCCCCATGGTTTCTAACCATGCTGGGCTGGGCGGGGATGAAGTGTGAACTGACAGTTCATAGGAAAGAGCTAAATGACAGCAACTTCTAACCGCACAGCTGTAGCACAGGATGTGGTCACAGTGTGGAGGCTCTTAGTTCCGTTTTAAATGGAGTCGATAATTTCAGTTTCCAGTGTAGGACTGGATGTGCCGTATGATCAGATGACGTTTCTGCCAAACAGATATCAGGATGGCGTCTCTCCTATAGACATTAATGCAATAAATTCACATAGATAGGGGACATCATACCTGCTTGATTTTTGTCAATCTTGTGCAATTAATAGGTGGCTAGGATGGTGAGTGGCATCAAAGCCCAGGCAACATTTTAACCCCTCGCCTACCGGGCACTTATACCCCCTTCCTGCCCAGGCTAGTTTTCAGCTTTCAGTGCTGTCGCACTTTGAATGACAACTGCGCAGTCATGCAACACTGTACCCATATGAATTTTTATAATTTGTTTGAGACAGATAGAACTTTCTTTTGGTATTTAATCACCTCGGGGTTTTAAATTTTTTGCTAAACCAAAAACAACTGAAAAATTTTGAAAAAAAAAAGGTTTTTTCTTAGTTTTTGTTTTAACATTTTGTAAATAAGTGATTTCTCTCCTTCACTGAGGTGCGCTAATGAGGCTGCACTGATGGGCGCTGATAGGCTGCACTTATGGGCACCAGTAGGCTGCACTGATGGGCATTGATGAGGAGGCACTGGTAGGTGACACTGATGGGCATTGAAAGGCATCACTGATGGGCACTGAAAGGCAGCACTCATATATGGCACTGATAGGCGGCACTGATAGGCAGCACTGATGGGCACTGATAGGCGGAACTGCTGTGTACTGATAGGTGGCACTGACTGGCACTGATAGGCGGAACTGCCTGGCACTGATAGGTGGCAGATTGGCACTGATAGGTGGCACTGACTGGCATTGATAGGTAGCACTGACTGGCACTGAAAGGTGACACTAAAAGGCAGCTCAGATGGGCATTGATATGTGGCATTGATGTGCACTGACAGCTGGCATTGATGGACACTGACAGGTGGCACTGATGGGGCTACACTGATCATCAGGGTACTTCTAATTTCCTTTTATGGCGGGCGGGAGGCGGTTAAAGACCTACTGTCATTTTAATAATATATTATGTTGGAATTTAGACTTGTTTTTACTGCTACAGGGCGGCACGGCTGCACAAAATCATGTATATATACGCGACTTTGCATTTTCGGGCAGGAGGGACGACGCCCTACCCGCGCCGACATTGGCGGCTTCAGCTGTCCATCACCAGGGTCCCGGCCGGTGATTCCTCACCAGCACTCAGTGATCGCCGAGTATCACTGACAGGGGAGAGGTCTGTATGTAAACAGTGCTGATCTCTCCCTGTCAGCTCCTGCACAACTGCTTTAGATGGCTCTGCCACAGCCATACAAAGCAGTGTGCTGACACTACAAACACACACATGTGGCCGCGGCTGTCAATCACCTGGTCCCGGCAGGTGATTACTCGCCGGCACCCAGTCCGAGCATCTCCAATGAGGAGGACTGTTTTGTTTACTAGCAGTCCTCCTCTCTGTTGGCTCGGGCACACTGCACAGCACAGCCATCCACAGCAGTGTGAGTACAGTGAAGCACACAGACCCCACCCCCTAGTAAAACAGCACACAGTTAACCCTTTGATCGCCCCAGATGTTAACCCCTTCCTGCCTAGTGCCATTAGTACAGTGTCAGTGCTTTTTTTTTTAGCACTGATCACTGTATTGGTGTCACTGGGGATGCCAGTGACACCAAGTCAGTCCCCCCCCCCCCCCAGTGTCAGAATGCCCACCACAGTCCCGCTATAAGTAGCTGATCGCATTACTAGGAAAAAAAAATTCAGTATATACAGTATATTTTGTAGATGCTATAAATTTCACGTAAACCAATTAGGCGCTTTCCCGCAACCCTATAGCAGAAATACTGCTACAGGGCGGCTGGGGTGTGCAAAATCATTTAGATATATGTGATTGTGCATTTCTGGGTAGGGGGGGGCCTTGGCTGTCAATCACCGGGTCGTGGCTGGTGATTACTCACCGTCACCCATTGATCGCCGAGTATTACCGACAGAAGAGGAGAGGTCTGTATGTAAACAATGCAGATATCTCCCCTGTCAGCTCAGCACACTGCTTTGTATGGCTCTGCATAGCAGTGTGCTTAAAGTGAAGTACACAAACCCCTCCCCTAGCAAAACATGCGCACAGTTAACCCTTTGTTCGCCCCTCACATTAACCCCTTCCTGCCCCTGGTGCCATTAGTACAGTGTCAGTGTTTTTTATTAGCACTGATCACTGTGTTGGTGTCACTAAGGGTGTCAGTGACACCAAGTCAGTGTCCCCGTCCCCCCCCCCCCCCCCCCAGTGTCAGAATGCCCGCCACAGTCCTGCTACATGTCATAGATTGCCGCCATTACTAGTTAAAAAAAAAATTCCAGTATCTATACCGCCATTTGTAGACGTTATAACTTTCACGTAAACCAATTAATTTACACGTATTGGGATTTTTTTTTTAGCAGAACATGGAGCAGAATACATTTTGGCCTAAATTTATGACAAAATTGGATTTTTTTTACTGGACATGTTTACTGGCAAAAAATTAAAAATTTTGTTTTTTTCTCAAAATTGACAATCTTTTTTTGTGTATAGTGCAAAAAATAAAAAACGCACAGGCGATCAAATACGTCCAAAAGAGAGCTCTATTTGTGGGAAAAAGGACGTAAATTTAATTTGGGTACAGCGTTGCATGACCGCGCAATTGTCAGTTAAAATAACACTGCACACAACGCAAAAAAATGGCCTGGTCAGGAAAGGGGGGGGGATCCTCTGGATGGTGAGGGTGTTTGATATACAATTATTGGGATTTTTTTTTAGCAAAGACATGGATCAGAATACATTTTGGTCTAAATTTGTGACAATTTGATTTTTTTACATTTTTAATTTTTTTCCTTTTTTTTACAGTTTTACTGGACATGTTTAATAGCAAAAAGTAAAACATTTTAGTTTTTTTTTTCTCAAAAAATAGTCGGTCTATGTTTATAGTGCAAAAAAACAAAAACAAAAACACACAGGTGAACAAATACCACCGAAAGAAAGCTCCATTTGTGGGGAAAAAAAAAGGACATAAATTTCATTTGGGTGCAGCGTTGCATAACTGCACAATTATCAGTTATAATAACGCTGCGCCGTATCACAAAAAAATGGCCTTGGGGTCAGGAAGGGGGGGGGGATCCTCTGGAGGGTGAGGAGTTGATAAAGGGAGCTGTTATGGGGTGGGAGTGATGCTGGGTTATAGGGCGTTGCTTTCTAGGAGTGGTGTGTAAACATCATTGAACTATATATCATACAAGGGCAATACAGGTCCCTCCAATTTCATTTCTTTGCATTCTGTTCACTTCTATTCTATCCTATTCTATCCTATCCTACTCTAATCTTCTCTCTCTCACTCTACTCTATCCTATTCTATTCTATTCTTAGGCACACGGGCTTGTTGCATTACCATCAACACTTTATTGGAATTGAAAAGGGGAGAGGAGAGAGAGGGGAAGGGGAAAGTAGCGGAGAGGGGAAGGGAGAGGAGAGGACAAGTAGGGGAGGGAGAGGAGCAGAGAGGAGAGGGGAGGAGGGAGAGAGGAGCGGAGAGGGGGGAAGAGGAGGAGTGGAGAGGAGAGGGGAGAGAAAAGAGAGAAGAGGGGGGGGAGGAGAAGAGGAGAAGAGGGGGGATGAGGAGAGGAGCAGAAGGGAGGAGAGGAGAGAAGAGAAGAGAAGGGAAGAGGGAGGGGAGGGGGGAGAGGAAAGGGAGAGAAAGAGGGGAAAGAGAAGGAGAGGAAAGAGGAGAGAAGATGAGAGGAAAGAGAGAGAAAAGAGAAGAGAGAGAAAGGAGGGAGGGGAGGAGAGTGGAGAGTGGAGAGGAAAGGAAAGAGGAGGAAGGGAGGAACAGGGGAGGGGAAGAGAAGAGGGAGGAGAAGAGAAGAGGGTAGGGGGGGTGATAGTCTGATTCACTTAGTCTATCCTTCAGCAAGCCCCACAACATGTCAGTCTAGAAATCTGCATTCTGGTTTATTCTATTTATATTTAGAAGTTAAAGCGGAGCTCCACCCAAAAATGGAAGCTCCGCTAATATACTCCCCCCCGCTGCCACATTTGGCACCTTTTTTTTTTTGGGGGGGGGGGGAGTAGGTACCTGGTTTTGACAAGTTCAAAATCTTCACTGCCGGTTTTCCTTAGTCAAGATGGCGGTGCCAGCACCCGATAGCCAATTGAAGAATCAGCTTGGGGTGAGGACACCGCTGTACTCATGGACAGGTGAGTGCCCTAATATTAACAGTCAGACTTTTACTTTTTTTGGGGGAGAGGGGGGGTGGAACTCCTCTTTATAAAGCGATTCAGTCCTTCAGCATAAATATAATATTTGTAATGTAATGTCTGGTGACCGCTGACACCAAGTTATTGTTCTTCTTTATCAGATGTGATGAGTGAGGACCCCTGTGAGAGAAATGTAATTGGCGCTGTGGGAGGAGCTGTCACTCTACAAGTCAACTACACTGGGGTCAGAAAATTACTTGGACTTTTGAAAAAAATCAGTGCTGCTATCGCCACAACAAAACCAGGAGAACCAATTGAGATTGACCATAGAGAGTATAAAGGAAGACTGAGCAGCACATCTAATGGATCCTTAATCATAACTGAGCCGAGACTGGAAGATCGGGGGACCTACCGGGCACAAATCAACACTGGTGAAGAGATACCGACCTGCAGATACCATCTCACAGTGTTCAGTAAGTACAATCTTTAGCAATGCCGATTTGACACCAGACAGAGTGTTCCATGTCTAAGGATGATTGTTTCCCAGGCCAGCAACATTTTGTTGTCAGAAATGCCCATTAGTAACGTCTTCAAGTTCGCGTGGTCAACCAGAGCGTCTGGTCAGCTACTGCCAATTGTGCCGTATTGAACTGCCACATGAAATATCTCAGACAGCTCCTAGGCACCTGGTCTGTGTTAAGGTGCATGCAGTTATATCTTCTCTTCCATTGCAAAACCTTCAGGAGAGGACTTATTTTCCAACCACTGTCTTCTCTTGCCCATACTAACCAAGCTCCAAGAAATCCACAAGTTTGTAGCTGCTGCTGCACACATTCATTGATGTGGAACACGATACTGGTTGTCATTCAATACTAGGATGGGGGAGGACATGCACACTCTACTAATACTATTAGGAAGTGTCATGGTCCAAAATCTCTGTAAAAAGAACATGACTGTACAACCAATCACTCTCTGGCAGGTTAGGTCCACTAAATGGCCAAAAGTATTGGCCCCCCTTCCCAATCATGTGATTCAGGTGTTCCAATCCCCTCCATGGACACAGGTGTATACAATCATCCCCTAGGCATGCAGACGGCTTCTACAAACATTGGTGAAAGAATGGGTCGCTCTCAGGAGCTCAGTGACTCCAAGCGTGGTCCCGTGATAGGTTGTGACATTTCCTGGCTACTAAATATTCCACGCTCAACTGTTAGTGGGATTATAACAAAGTGGAAGCAACTGGGAACAACAGCCACTCAGCCACCAAGTGGTAGGCCACGTCACATGACAGAGCGGGGTCAGCGCATGCTGAAGCGCACAGTGCACAGAAGTCACTAACTGTCTGCAGAGTCAATAGCTAAAAAGACCTCCAAACTTGGTGTGGCCTTCAGATGAGCCCAACAACAGTGCGTAGAGATCTTCATGGAATGGGTTTCCATGGCCGAGCAGCTGCATCCAAGCCTTCCATCACCAAGTGCAATGCAAAGCGTCGGATGCCGTGGTGTAAAGCATGCCGCCACTGGACTCTAGAGCAGGGGAGATGTAATCTCTGGAGTGACCAATCACACGTCTCTGTCTGGCGATCCGATGGACGTGTCTGGGTTTGGCGGTTTCCAGGAGAACGGTATTTGCCTGACTGCATTGTGCCAAGTGTAATGTTTGGTGGAGGGGGGATTATGGTGTGGGGTTGTTTTTCAGGGGTTGGGCTTGGCCCCCTAGTTCCAGTGAAGGGAACTCTTAAGGTGACAGCATACTAAGACTAGGGATGGACTCCATTTTTGAGTTGAGCCTGAGTTTGACCTAAACATGGCCTGTTCCTGTGTTCGGCGAACACACGAACAGTACAGGTGCACCCCACAATGCACTGCGCCCCGACAGTGCATTATGATTGGTCAAAGCAATGAACCTGACCACAGGTCAGGTGCAGTGCTTTGACCAATCACAGTGTGTGATTAATGAAGAGCACTTTTTCTCTTATTTTTGCTCTCATTCGGTATTACACTACCTGTCAGAGGATCCGCTTGTTTGGACCGCAATTGGCGTTAGTGGAAGTCCGTTACCCATTTGGGAAAGTCCTGCATGACCTGTCTGTTAGCTCAGGGGTCACATGAGTAAGGTGAGAGGCCTTGTGTGTTCCTCTGGGTGATGGGATCTACCATTCTTTCCACAAGGACGGGTCCATTGGATGATATATGATCTTGTATATTCCATACTTTAAATGGGTGCTCCATAACTTCGGACTGACATCACTGGTGGTGTTTCCACCTATTTTAAGACTATATGGACTTTTTATAAATATATTTATTATTGAACATGCAAACTCCAGGCAGGTGGTGCCGTGGTTGGGATTCAAACCAACGACCCGAGTACTGCCAGGCGGAAGTGCTAACCATTTAGCCACTGTGCTGTCCTACCGTATAAATGTCCATTCATGATGTTCAGCTTGCAAATTGGTAGGTTTTATATATCGTGTTTGCGCTGATTTTTTTAATATTTTTCATTCCCTGAAATTCGCTTCAGAGTTGCTTCAAAGTGGTACTCAAGTTGCCTGGCAAAGTCACATTGTAAGTGGTGCGACTTTCAGGCCGCAGTAGTGTGAACCGAGACCTTTGGTACAAGTTGTCATTAATGAATGCAAACCCCCCCAACCACCACCATGCCTCACCTGGACTGATACTCACCTTTATTTTATTTATTTCAGGTACTTATATAGCGCCGTCCATTTACGCAGCACTTTACACATATATATTGTACATTCACATCAGTCCCTAACCCTCAAGGGGCGTACAATCTAAGGTCCCTAACCCTCAAGGGGCGTACAATCTAAGGTCCCTAACCCTCAAGGGGCGTACAATCTAAAGTCCCTAACCCTCAAGGAGCGTACAATCTAAGGTCCCTAACCCTCAAGGGGCATACAATCTAAGGTCCCTAACCCTCAAGGGGCGTACAATCTAAGGTCCCTAACCCTCAAGGGGCGTACAATCTAAGGTTCCTAATCCTCAAGGCGCGTACAATCTAAGGTCCCTAACCCTCAAGGGTCTTACAATCTAAGGTCACCGACCCTCAAGGGGCGTACAATCTAAGGTCACCGACCCTCAAGGGGCGTACAATCTAAGGTCCCTGACCCTCAAGGGGACGTACAATCTAAGGTCCCTGACCCTCAAGGGGTGTACAATCTAAGGTCCCTAACCCTCAAGGGGCGTACAATCTAAGGTCCCCAACCCTCAAGGGGCATACAATCTAAGGTCCCTACCCCTCATGGAGCGTACAATCTAAGGTCCCTGACCCTCAAGGGGCGTACAATCTAAGGTCACCGACCCTCAAGGGGTGTACAATCTAAGGTCCCTGACCCTCAAGGGGACGTACAATCTAAGGTCCCTGACCCTCAAGGGGTGTACAATCTAAGGTCCCTAACCCTCAAGGGGCGTACAATCTAAGGTCCCCAACCCTCAAGGGGCATACAATCTAAGGTCCCTAACCCCTCATGGAGCGTACAATCTAAGGTCCCTGACCCTCAAGGGCGTACAATCTAAGGTCCCTAACCCTCAAGGGGCGTACAATCTAAGGTCCCTAACCCTCAAGGGGTGTACAATCTAAGGTCCCTAACCCTCAAGGGGTGTACAATCTAAGGTCCCTAACCCTCAAGGGGCGTACAATCTAAGGTCCCTAACCCTCAAGGGGCATACAATCTAAGGTCCCTAACCCTCAAGGGGCGTACAATCTAAGGTCCTTTACCCTCAAGGGGCATACAATCTAAGGTCCCTGACCCTCAAGGGGCATGCAATCTAAGGTTCCTGACCCTCAAGGGGCATACAATCTAAGGTCCTTGACCTTCAAGGGGCGTACAATCTAAGGTCCTTGACCCTCAAGGGGCGTACAATCTAAGGTCCTTGACCTTCAAGGGGCGTACAGTCTAAGGTCCCCGACCCTCAAGGAGCGTACAGTCTAAGGTCCCCGACCCTCAAGGGGCATACAATCTAAGGTCCCTAACCCTCAAGGGGTGTACAATATAAGATCCCTAACCCTCAAGGGGCGTACAATCTAAGGTCCCTAACCCTCAAGGGGCGTGCAAATCTAAGGTCCCTAACTCACATTCATACATACACATACTAGGGCCAATTTAGACAGGAGCCAATTAACCTACCAGCATGTCTTTGGAGTGTGGGAGGAAACCAGAGTACCCAGAGGAAACCCACACAGGCGCAGGGAGAACATGCAAACTCAAGGCAGGTGGTGCCATTGTTGGGATTCAAGCCAATGACCTGAGTACTGCAAAGCGGGACTGCTAACCCAATCCTGTGCAGCTGATTGAGGCGGGGGGGGGGGGTCAAACAGCCGTGCTTCTGGAAACATCCTTGCAGGGTCCTCTTCAACCTGCTTATGGGTGTCATGGCCCCATTCATTCCTGTGCCGGGAACTGTACTCTGTAGGACCGCTAGAGGCTACCATGATAATGGCTGCCCCAGCAATGAATTGGACCGTGGCACATATGCACAGGCCTAAAGAGAACCTGACAAGGACATATTTTGAAACCAAAATGTACAGTTGCCCCTTAACCCCTCGCCTACCGCACACTTTTTACTCCCTTCCAGCCCAGGCCAAATTTTCAGCTTTCAGCGCTGTCGCACTTTGAATGACAATTGCGCGGTCATGCAACACTGTACCCATATGACCTTTTTAGCATTTTTTCATACACAAAGAGCTTTCTTTTGGTGGTATTTACTAGCCGCTGGGGGTTTTATTTTTTGCACTATAAACAAAAAAAGAGCAAAAAGTTAGATTACAAAAAAGTTTTTCTTTGTTTCTATTACAAAATTTTGCAAACAGGTAATTTTTCTCCTTCACTGATGTGCATTGATGAGGCTGCACTGATCAGCAGCCCTGCTGAGTACTAATGAGGTGGCACTGATAGGCAGCAATGATGGGCATTGATGAGGAGGCACTGATGATGTTGCACTGATATGCAGCAAGATGGACATTGATAGGTGGCACTGACTGGCAAAACTGATTGATAGCACTGACTGGAGGAACTGACAGATGGCACTGACGGGGCGGCACTGATGGGTGGCACTGCTAGGCAGCACTGATGGGCACCAATGAGGTGGCACTGATAGACAGCACTGATGGGCACTGATGATACGGCACTGGTGGGCATTGATGAGGAGGCATTGATGATGCTGCACTGATATGCAGCAATGATGGGCGCTGATAGGTGGCACTGACTGACAAAACTAATTGATAGCACCGACTGGAAGAACTGACAGATGGCACTGACAGGGCACTGCTGAGCACTGATGGGCGGCACTGCTAGGCAGCACTGATGGGCACTAATGAGGTGGCACTGATAGGCAGCACTGATGGGCACTGGTGAGACAGCAGCACTGGTGGGCAATGATGAGGAGGCACTGGTGATGATGCACTGATATGCAGCAATGATAAGCACTGATAGCTGGCACTGACTGGCAAAACTAATTGATAGCACCGACTGGAGGAACTGACAGATGGCACTGACGGGCGCACTTCTGGGCACTGACGGGTGGCACTGCTAGGCAGCACTGATGGGCACTAATGAGCTGGCACTGATAGGCAGCATTGATGGGCACTGGTGAGACGGCACTGGTGGGCAATGATGAGGAGGCACTGGTGATGATGCACTGATACGCAGCAATGATGGGCACTGATAGCTGGCACTGACTGGCAAAACTAATTGATAGCACCGACTGGAGGAACTGACAGACGGCACTGACGGGCGGCACTTCTGGGCACTGACAGGTGAAACTGCTAGGCAGCACTGATGGGCACTAAAGAGGTGGCACTGATAGGCAGCACTGATGGGCACTGAGGAGACGGCACTGTGGGCAATGATGAGGAGGCACTGATGATGCACTGATACGCAGCAATGATGGGCTGATAGCTGGCACTGACTTGAAAACTAATTGATAGCACCGACTGGAGGAACTGACAGACGGCACTGACGGACGGCACTTCTGGGCACTGACGGGTGAAACTGCTAGGCAGCATTGATGGGCACTAATGAGCTGGCACTGAGGCAGCACTGATGGGCACTGATGGTCGGCACTGATCAGTGCCCTGATTATTAGTGCAGACCTCCCGTCACATTTGCCAGTTATCGGCAGTACTTTGTACAACAGACAACCGGCAACTGTATTTCCATTGTGATCTGCCATGTCATTGGACACAACTGATCACGTGGTAAAAGGCCGCTGTGGACACAACGATCATAAAGATCGCCGGGTGCGCAGTCGCTGGGGGCATGTTCTAGGAGGACGTCCACGGGAGTAAATCATGATGCCTATTCGTAGGTGTTTTTCATGGATGGATATGATGGTTGGATGCTTCAGGAAGGTGTATGAGAAACTCAGCATCACGGTGGGGAGCGGGAGCAGCAATACTTCTCTGGAGGGATGTCTGACGCTCCATGTTTTTTTTTTTTTCCTTTAGGAAACTTAACGGCTGAGGATGTCGTCATCACATCCAATGTCACCGATAATAAGACGTGTGAGGTCATCTTGACGTGTTCAGTAAATAGCAGCAATGTGACCGTCACCTGGACGTGTTTAAACAGCACTGACATTAATGATACGCAGGGCGTTGTGGTTGTACCGCCAAGTCATGTCAACTTCACCTATGTATGTACAGCACAAAATCCCGTCAGTAACGTCTCGAAACATGTCCTCCCCTGGGGACTACTGCCGAGAAGGTAGGTACAACACGGCTTATACTTCCCCTAGAGCAGGGGCGGACTGACAACTCATGGGGCCCCCCGGGCAATAGTGGATCATGGGGCCCTTTGTCCCCAGGGTATCTCATGGGGTCCCCTACTGACCCCGGGCCCTCGGGCAGTGCCCAAGTTTCCAAATGGTCAGTCTGCCCCTGACCTAGAGTTAAACTTCACACTTTATTGTGAACCTGTGCTTTGCCTGCTATTTCTGGGAATGGACAGGGCCGGGTACTAGCACCCCCCCAAAAAAAAGAGAAAATTCAAACTTCACCTGTAATTCTACTTCACCCCTCCTAGCACACATCCTCTTTCCCCTCAAATCTTCCACCCTAGCAAAAATCCTCTCCCCCCCAATCCCACCACCTAGCACAACCCCCTCCAAATGACCTTTCCCAGCACAAATATTTCCTCCCCACCCAAATCCACCCTCCTAGCACAACGCATAACAATCTCCCCCCCCCCCCCTCCAGCACAAATCCCCCCCTCCTGGCACAACCCCCCAGTTTCCCCTCCTAACACAAATCCCCCCCAAATCCCCCTCTCCTAGCACATAATTCCCCCACAATCCCATCTCCCAGCACAACAACTCCTCCAAATTACCCTTCACAGCGCAAATCTTTCCTCCCCACCCAAATCCACCCTCCTAGCACAAATCCCCCTTCCTGGCACCCCCCCCCCCACAATTTCCCCTTATAACACAAATCCCCCCAATCCCCCTCTCCTAGCACACATTCTCCCCCCAATCCCATCTTCCAGCACAAATCCCCTCCAAGTCTCCCCTCCCCTCCTAGCACAACCTCCCCCCAATCCCCCAACCAATCCTCCCTCCTAGCACAAATTAAAAATAAATAAAAAAAATAATAAAAAAAATAAAAAAAAAATATAATAAAACCCCCCCAAATTACCCTTTCCAAAATAATAACCCTTTCCAACCTCCCCCCAATCCCCCAACCAATCCTCCCTCCTAGCACAAATTAAAAATAAATAAAAAAAATAATAAAAAAATCCCACCTCCATCTCCCAGCACAACCCCCTCCAAATTACCCTTTCCAACATAAATCTTTCCTCCCCACCCCAAATCCACCCTCCTAGCACAAATCCCCCCTCCTGGTACAACCCCCCCCCCCCCCATTTCCCCTTCTAGCACAAACCCCCCCCCAATCCCCCTCTCCTAGCACACATTTCCCCATAATCCCATCTCCCAGCACAAATCCCCCCTCCTATCATAAAGCCCCCCAATCCCTCCTCCTAGCACAACCCCCCTCCAAATGACCCTTCCCAGCACAAATCTTTCCTCTCCGCCCAAATCCCCCCACCTAGCACAACTCATAACAATCCCCCCCCAGCACAAATCCCTCCTCCTGGCACAACCCCCCAATTTTCCCTCCTAACACAAATCCCCTCAATCCCCTTCTCCTAGCACACATTCCCTCCCAATCCCATCTCCCAGCACAGATCCCCTCCAAATCCCCCCTCCTAGCACAACCTCCCCCCAATCCCCCAACCAATCCTCCCTCCTAGCACAACACTCCCCCTCCACTCCTCTCTCCTAGCACAAATCCCCCCCCCCCCCCCCCCCTCCTAGCACAACTCATAACAATCCCCCCCTCCTAGCACAACCTCCCCCCCAATCCCCCAACAATTCCTTCCTCCTAACACAACACTCCCCCTCCACTCCTCTCTCCTAGCACAAATCCCCCCCCCCCCCGGTCCCCCCTCCTAGCACAACTCATAACAATCCCCCCCTCCTAGCACAACCTCCCCCCAATCCCCCAACCAATCCTCCCTCCTAACACAACACTCCCCCTCCACTCCTTTCTCCTAGCACAAATCCCCCCCATCCCCCCTCCTAGCACAACTCATAACAATCCCCCCCTCCAGCACAAATCCCCCTCCTGCCACAATCCCCCCCCCCCCCCCATTTATCCTCCTAACACATTCCCCCCAATCCCATCTCCCAGCACAAATCCCCCCCCCCCTAGCACAACCTCCCCCCAATCCACCAACCAATCCCCTCTCCTAGCACAAAGTCCATCCAGTTCAAAATTAAAATAGTATATCAGGGGTAGGCAGCCTTAAAGTGGTGGAGATCTACCTGAACAACATGAAAGAATTCAAAGATCACCGGGCACAGAGTCACCTCCTTACACCTGGAGATGGGTAGTGGGTGGAACCAAAAAGATGGTGCTTGGAAATGGGTAGGGGGTGGAACCAAGAGAAGGTGCTTGGAGGTGGGTAGGTGATGGAACCAAGAGATGGCGCTCTCAGGTGCGTAGGAGGTGGAATCAAAAGATGGTGCTTGGAGGTGGGTATGGGGTGGAACCAAGAGACAGTGCTTGGAGGTGGGTGTGGGGGTGGAACCAAGAGACAGTGCTTGGAGATGGGTAGTGGGTGGAACCAAAAAGATGGTGCTTGGAGATGGGTAGGGGGTGGAACCAAGAGAGGGTGCTTGGAGGTGGGCAGGTGATGGAACCAAGAGATGGCGCTTTGAGGTGGGTAGGAGGTGGAACCAAGAGATGGTGCTTGGAAATGGGTATGGGGTGGAACCAAGAGACAGTGTGTGGAGGTGGTTAGGGGGTGAAACCAAAAGACGTTGCTTGGAGGTGGGTAGTGGGTGGAACCAAGAGATGGTGCTTGGAGGAGGGTAGAGGGTGGAACCAAAAGATTGTGTTTGGAGGTAGGTCAGGGGTGGAACCAAGAGATGGTGCTTGGAGATGGTAGGGGGGATGGAACCACAAGACGGTGCTTGGAGGTGGGTAGCGGGTGGAACCAAGAGACGGTGATTGAAGGTGGGTAAGGGGCAGAACCAAGAGATGGTGCTTGGAGATGGGTAGGGGGGTGGAACCAAAAGATGGTGCTTGGAGGTGGGTAGTGCGTGGAACCAAGAGGCGGTGCTTGGAGGTGGATGAAGGTTGGAACCAAGAAATGGTGCTTGGAGCTGGGTAGGGGGTGGAACCAAGAGACGGTGCTTGAAGGTGGGTAGTAGGTGGAACCAAGAGACGGTGCTTGGAGGTGGGTATGGGGTGAAACCAAGAGACAGTGTTTGGAGGTGGGTAAGAGGTGGAACCAAAAGATGGTACTTGGAGTTGAGTAGTGGGTGTAACCAAGAGACGGTGTTTGGAGGTGGGTAGTAGGTGGAACCAAGAGACGGTGCTTGGAGGTGGGTATGGGGTGAAACCAAGAGACAGTGTTTGGAGGTGGGTAGTGGGTGGAACCAAGAAATGGTGCTTGGAGATGGGTAGGGTGTGGAACCAAGAGACGGTGCTTGAAGGTGGGTAGGAGGTGAAACCAAGAGACACTGTTTGGAGGTGGGTAGGGGGTAGAACCAAAAGACAGTGCTTGGAGGCGGGTAAGAGGTGGAACCAAAAGATGGTGCTTGGAGTTGAGTACTGGGTGAAACCAAGAGACGGTGTTTGGAGGTGGGTATGGGGTGAAACCAAGAGACAGTGTTTGGAGGTGGGTAGGGGTAGAACCAAAAGAGGAGTTGGGTAGTAGGTGGAACCAAGAGACGGTGTTTGGAGGTGGGTAGGGGGTAGAACCAAAAGAGGAGTTGGGTAGTAGGTGGAACCAAGAGACGGTGTTTGGAGGTGGGTAAGGGGGGTGCGGGCAAAAGACTGTGCTTAGAGGTAGGTAAGAGGTGGAACCAAGATACGGTGCTTGGAGATGGGTAGGGGGCGGAGACAAGAAGTGACTCAGAAAGGAGGGAGTTCCTGCACCTATTCTCTGAGAAACAAAGCCCTGCCTACAGACACCCCTTATATACATGGGTAGTAGAGATGAACTATAATAGACAAACCTCCAGGCACTAAATCCCACAACCAACGTAGGGAAAACCAAGGCCAGTCCCACAGCTGCTCCGATGACCATCAGGAGTGTGCTGTAACTGTGACAAAGCACTTGTCACGGTCACCGGGATTTGTTTTGGCCAGTCTCCTTCCTGCTAAGGGCTCACGATGGCTTCCCTGTGCTCCACTGAGGTCACTTTCAGTGCGCCGTGACGTCACTACGGGTGCGGGATCCTTGGTGACACCGAGGAGGCCTTCTGATCTCTCAAGTGGTATCTCACTAGGTTTGTGGACACATTCCCCACCAATTGCTGCCATTTTACAACCTTTCCATCTGTGGAGTTTACCATCTAGGCTTCCCATAGCCATGTCTACATTCAAGTAAGCCGCTTCCATCATTCCTTTCCGCATGTGCCAGTCCTTTTGCGCCATACTGCCACATGGATTTTTTGGGAATATGGTGATTATGGTTTCTATTAAACTTTTGAAATCAGATATATTGACTGCTAGCTGTGTACGTCATTGCCTAATTATCCCAGCTTCCACCATGAGCGCTCTGATTTTCTCAGTTTTAGTAAAGATGAGCTATGCCCAGGGGCGGACTGACCATTTAGGCACTCGGGCACTGCCCGAGGGCCCGGGGTCAGTAGGGGGCCCCATGAGATGCTCCTGGTACCTTTCATAGGCTTTTATGGGTGTGGTTTGAGTGTGGGTGAAGACACAGGGGCCCCATGATTTCCTATTGTCCATGGGGCCCCATGAGTCGTCAGTCCACCTCTGGCTATGCCTTTAGTTTTTTTTTTAAAAAAAGGGAACATGGAAAAACTGGAGTGTTCCTTTAACCCCCCTGGAGGTATTCCCGAGTGTAGCTCGGGGTAAAGTTTCAGTACCAGAAGCAGTAACCCTGAGCTACACTTGGGAATACACTGCAGCGTTGCTCTGGGATCTCTTTTTCACTTATCTTGTCCTGCGCTCCCGCGATGTCCCACCTGCAGTGTCCCCGGCAATGTCCTCCAGCAGATGCCGGCATCTGGCTTCTGGGTTCCGTTCCCTGCGACGTCGGGATGTACGGGGGACGGAACTGGCGGGAAATTTGAAAGTTGTAAAAGTGACATTCACTAAATACACTAAAATCACATAGTATAACATTCCTGTATCAAACCATTTCACATACATTTTGTCCCGAGTGCTTTGTCCTGTGCCCTGCTTGCATTTTTACCGCCCTTTCTGCCTGGAAACTGAGAAACGTCCAAAAAGCATCCCTTTAGGTCAAAAGCTGTTTTAGACCGGCTAGAGAACAGCGATAGTAAATCAGAACCACTTGCAGAATTGAGTGATAATGATTCGTGGGGGAAATTCATCATCAGACACTGAAAACGATTCTGCGACTTTGCCCAGTGATGTGCGAACTTGGCGCCATATTTCATAATTCAGTGTTTTTGGTTTGATTATATTATTGAATTAAATGTATTATTATTTTTATTATGATTATTTATTAAATTATAATTTATGATTTTGTGTTTCAAGTTTTATCATCCCCAGGATGTTTACTAGACTCTTGTTCGGACAGATTTCAGTGAGTTATACAGGCCATAGACGGGTCGAAAACCGTCCGAAAAAAAAAAAAAAAAAATCGGCCAATTTTCGCACCGTTAGTGGGTTAATTGGTCGGCCGTTTTTTGGGGTTTTGGCACATTTTTTTTTATCGGTAAAGTTGGAAAAAAGTCGGCCGATTTTCCCAGCAATGATGGGCAAAATCGGCTGATCGTTTTACCGATAAAAAAATCTGCGCATGAGCAGTGACCTGCAAGAAGAAGTAAAAAAAGAAGAAGAAGAAAAAAAGAAGAGAGGAAAAAAAAGAAAAAGAAGAAGAAAAGAAGAAGAAAAGAAGAAAAAGAAGAAGTAAAAGAAAAACAAGTAAAAAAGTAGAAGCAAAAAAGAAAAAGAAGAAGAAAAAGATAAAGAAGAAGAAGAAAAAAGAAGAGCAAAAATAGAAAAAAAGAAGAAAAAGAAGAATTCCAGTCCACTATTATATTTGACATGAAAAAATCTTGCGGTTGCAACAATGTAACTATTTGTATCCGAATAAAAACATCTGTATCCAAAATGGATACAAATGGATATAAATAGATACAAATGGATACATTGTTGCAACCACAAGACTTTTTCATGTCAAATATAATAGTGGAGCTCTCTGCAGGGACAGAAGTAATTAAATGCCGGCCGCAGACGGGACAAAAATTGGCTGATTTTTTTTTAGCGTTGGTGGTAACGTTGGCCGATCGAACGATCGATTTTTCGTTTTGTTTTTTTTTTTTTTAAATGGACGGTTTTCAACCCATCTATGGCCTGCATTATTCCTAAAAATTACAGGCCTACAATAAAAAAAAAAATACATATTTCCATGCAAAAAAATGTACCACTTTGAGCACAGAAATATGGACATAATCAGACCGCTAGGGAGGCTACGAACTTCTGATAGTCGCAGAAATGATGCATAGTTGACAATGTAGCAATGTGTGTTTTTCGGCACAATACTTGTTTCCCGGATAATACGTTTTTGTTTTCTTCCAGCTAAAGTGAATGTATCTCCGCAGCGAGACATGATCGGCCTCTATGTTTCGATTGGGATCTTTTCTTTTATCTTTCTTATAATTGTTGTTGTTGTGATTTGCCGAAGAAGCAAAGAAGAAGGTAATTGTAGCAATTGTTACTATTAGCATTCCTTTATGTACAGTATATCTCCATCAATGCGGCAGCGGGGGCCGGGATCCAGCAATGAGGGGGGGCTCAGTGAGTCATTCTATATATCACTCATTTATAACTGATGAGGTTGGTACAGAAGTTATATTTCAGGACAGGGGGCGGACTGACCATTCGAACAGTCAGCACTGCCTGAGGGCCCGGGGTCAGTAGGGGGCCCCATGAGATGCCCCTGGTACCTTTTATAGGCTTTTGTTTGTGTGCTTTGAGTGTGGGCAAGGACACAGGGGCCCCATGATCCCCTATTGCCCGGGGGCCCTGATTTCAGTCCGCCCCTGATTTCCGGGTTTCCTGGAAACTCAAACTTTCCTCCATACTTCTTTAACTCCCGACAACTCTATTGGTAAGATCTCTATTAAATTCCCGGGTCTGTACGCCCGCTGTGCCCATTATGAGGGGTTCCCACCATCCCTGTGCTGAGTTCCCGGGTCTGTACACCCGCTGTGCCCATTATGAGGGGTTCCCACCATCCCTTTGCTGAGTTCCCGGGTCTGTACATCAGCTGTGCCCATTATAAGGGGTTCCCACCATCCCTGTGCTGAGCTCCCGGGTCTGTACGCCCGCTGTGCCCATTATGAGGGGTTCCCACTATCCCTGTGCTGAGTTCCCAGGTCTGGACACCCACTGTGCCCATTATGAGGGGTTCCCACCATCCCTGTGCTGAGTTCCCGAGTCTTTACACCCGCTGTGCCCATTATGAGGGGTTTCCACCGTCCCTGTGCAGAGTTCCCGGGTCTGTACACCTGCTGTGCCCATTATGAGGGGTTCCCACCATCCCTGTGCTGAGTTCCCGGGTCTGTACACCCGCTGTGGCCATTATGAGGGGTTCCCACCATCCCTGTGCTGAGTTCCCGGGTCTGTACACCCGCTGTGCCCATTATGAGGGGTTCCCACCATCCCTGTGCTGAGTTCCCGGGTCTGTACACCCGCTGTGCCCATTATGAGGGGTTCCCACCATCCCTGTGCTGAGTTCCTGGATCTGTACGCCCGCTGTGCCCAGTGGTGTATTTAGGTTTTGTGCTGCCAAAAACACAAAAATTGTGTGCCCCCTCAGACACGAACCAACACCACCCCCCTTCCCCCCCTCCCATGGAAGAGAGCCAGTCATTGACCAACACCCCTGCCCCCCACCTAGAAGAGCCTTGCACTAACCCCCCCTCCAGTGACAGAGAGAAAGACATTCATCTTCACAGCTCCGGACATCTCCGAGAGTGTAAGTCAGGCTCTACATACACCTTCAAGCAGCCCGCAGCCTCTTTCAGATCCCATCTGGTTCCCAAGGCGTGCTTGTGACTTCTTTCATCCCTTCTTCTGGGGGGAGGTGCTGCCCCCCTGAAAAATGCCGCCCTAGGCAAGTGCCTTGTTTGCCTTGTGGTAAATACGCCCCTGGCTGTGCCTATTATGAGGGGTTCCCACCATCCCTGTGCCGAGTTTCCAGGTCTGTACGCCCGTCGTGCCCATTATGAGGGGTTCCCACCATCCCTGAGCTGAGTTCCTGGGTCTGTACACCCGTCGTGCCCATTATGAGGGGTTCCCACCCTCCCTGTGCTGAGTTCCTGGGTCTGTACACCTGTCGTGCCCATTATGAGGAGTTCCCACCATCCCTGTGCTGAGTTCCTGGATCTGTACACCCGCTGTGCCCATTATGAGGGGTTCCCACCATCCCTGTGCTGAGTTCCCGGGTCTGTACACCCGCTGTGCCCATTATTAGGGGTTCCCCCCCAGGGGCGGACTGACCATTCGAGCACTCTGGCACTGCCCGAGGACCTGGGGTCAGTAGGGGGCCCCATGCAATGCCCCTGGTACCTTTTATAGGCTTTTTTGGGTGTGTTTTGAGTTTGGGCAAGGACACAGGGGCCCCATGATCCCCTATTGCCCGGGGGCCCCATGAGTTGTCAGTCCGCCCCTGGTTCCCACCATTCCTGAACTCTATTGTAGCAAAGACACAAAGGGTCCCTGAACCCTTTCCAAAACCGCAGCGGCTCAGAAAAGTTGAGATGTGACCATGCCCCATAGAACACCATGTTATATGGACTGTAGAGCGTTTCTGCAAAAAGCACTAAAAACGCATCAGTGTGACCTCAGAGATCAATAAACTACTCAGCAGATCAGATATTGATTGATTTTATCTATTTATTGTCATTTCAGACCCTTTGGATTTCAATGTGGTAAGGAAAATCACCCCCGGAAACTTACAAAAAAAATGATTACAAGAAAAAACTGCGATAGACACCCCGTCTGAACCCCCCCCCCTCCCCCGAAACCCCCCCCCCCCACCACCACCTCCATGCACGCTGAGAGTCTCGATGAGAGTTCCATGCGCACTAGGATTGGTTTTTTTACGTAAAATGCTGGTCGTGTTCAGGAGTGTGGGAGTCTTTACAGTTCATGTAGAAAAAATGCTGTAAGAGTTTAAGAAGCGATTACCACCTGACCCTCTGCCCCCCTCCTTTCCCACTGCCCCCCCCCCCCTTGTCCCGCTGCCCCCTCCTTTCCCACTGCCCCCCCCCTCCCTTGTCATGTTGCCCTCCTCCTGTCCTGCTGTCCCCCCCCCCCCCCCCTTTTTTTCCTCTGCTGCCCCCCCTCATCTCCCACTGCCCCCCATCTGTCCTGCTGCACTCTTGTCATTCTGCCCCTGCTCCTTTCCCTCTGCTTCCCTTCTTTTTCATTGCCCCCTTCCTGTCCCGCTGCCCCCCCCAGGGGCGGAGTGACAACTCATGGGGCCCCCCGGGCAATAGGGGATTATGGGGCCCCTGTGTCCTTGTCCAAACTCAAAAAAGTCTATGAAAAAGGTACCAGGGGCATCTCATGGGGCCCCCTACTGACCCCGGGGCCTTGGGAAGTGCCCGAGTTTCCAAATGGTCAGTCCGCCCCTGCCCCCCCCCCTTGTTATTCTGCTTCTCTGCCCTTCCCTCTGCCCCCTTCTTTTTCATTGCCCCCTCCTTTCCCTCTGCCCCTCTTCTGTCCCTCTGCTTCCCTTCTTTTTCATTGCCCTCCACCTATCCCGCTGACCCCCCTTGTCATTCTGCTCCTCCACTTTTTCCGCTGCCCCCCTTTTTTCTACATTGCCCTACACCTGTTCTGCTGCCCCCCTTCTTTTTCATTGCCCCCCTTTTTCATTGCCCTCCACCTATCCCGCTGCCCCCCTCCTCTCCCACTGCCTCCCTTCTTTTCCTCTGCCCCCCACCTGTCCCACTGCCCTCCTCCTTTCCCGCTGCCCCCCACCCCTTGTCATTCTGCCCTCCTCCTTTCCCTCTGCCCTCCTCCTTTCCCACCACCCCCCTCCTGTCCCACTGACCCCTCCTTGCCATTCTGCCCCCCAACTGTCCTGCTACCCTCCTCCTCTCCCACTGCCTCCCTTCTTTTCCTGTGCCCCCCGCTTGTCCCACTGCCCTCCTCCTTTCCCGCTGCCACCCTTCTTTTTCATTTCCGCCCTTTTTCATTGTCCTCCACCTATCCCGCTGCCCCCCTTGTCATTCTGCCCCTCCTCCTTTCCCTCTGCCCTCCTCCTGTCCCACTGCCCCCCTCCTTGCCATTCTGCCCCCCACCTGTCCTGCTACCCTCCTCCTTTCCTGCTGCCCCCTCCTCTCCCATTGCCTCCCTTTTCCTCCCTTTTCCTCTGCCCCACGCCTGTCCCACTGCCCTCCTCCTGTCCTGCTGCCCCCCGTCATTCTGCCCCCCCCCCCACATCTCCCGCTACCGCCTCCTTTCCCGCTGCCCTCCTCCTGTCCAGCTCCCCCCCCAGTCTTCTCCCGAAAGAATGGATCTTAAATAGGAAGGCATGGGAAAATTTAGATGGGGGGCCACCCAATTTTAGTCTTGCCTAGGGCAGCACAAAAAAGCAAAATGCACCCCTGCGTAACCCCTGCACTGCCGGCACAGCCACACTGCATGGCAGGAGAAATAAGTTTTGCCCGGAGTTCTGCTTTAAAGAACAAAACAATTTATAAGAAATGTGACAATCCGCTAAAAGAACAGAAAAGCTTCAACAGTATGACTGACCTACAGAGAGATGAAACAAATCCTCCTACTTAAGTTGTACCTGTTTATCTGTAGCATTCTCTTCTCTACATCCATTCAAAGTGCAGAATTTATACAGCTTGTGTGAGCTTCCAGATAAAAGCGGGTGGGGAGCTGAAGTTACACTCAGTGAGAGCTGATTGGAGGTTATGCCCCTCCCCCCTTGTCTCCCTTCACACTGCACACAGGAACAGAGCTGAGGCTGAAGCTCCCTCACCTGTCACCATTCTTCTCTTGGTGTCAGGAAAACTTGTCAGAAGTGATAGCAGAGGAAGGAGGCAGCAGACAGCAATGGATCCATATTTGGAGAACACAAAAAATTATATATTTTTTTTTCGGATTGATTAGTTAAGTTGGTAATTTTGTTTTGTTGCAATCGAAATGCATTTATGTTTCGTTTATTCATTTTCAACTGGATTCAAATTTTTTAACAATGGATTTGAATCGAAAATATTGAATCGATCCGAATTCATTGTGAAGAATAGCTGGTTCTGTTCTATTTCAATCTCAAAAGATTGCTATGTTCTCTCTCTTTTTTTTTTCTAGTCAATTATTTTCTATTCTATTCTTTTGCATCCTATTCTTTTATTTTCTATTCTATTCAATTTTATTTTCTGTTCTGTTTTGGACTAATCTGTTCTATTCTATTCCTTTATTTTCTATTCTATTTTCTTTTGTATTTTATTCTTTTATTTTCTATCGTATTCTGTTTATTTTACTCTATTCTATTCTTTTCGAAATATGAATTTCAGAAGATGACTATATTTTATACTATTCTAATAAATTCCAGTCTTTTCTTTTCTAGTCTATTCTGTTCTGTTGTACTCTATTCTATTCAAATCTATTCCTTTCTTTTTGGTTTTAGTCTCTTCTGCACTGCTTTACTCTTCTTTTCTAATCCATTCTATTCTTTTCTATTCGGTTTTATTCTGTTCTGTACTGTTTTACTCCATTCTTTTCTAATCTATTCTATTCTTTTCGGTTTTATTCTCTTCTTCACTGCTTTATTGTTCTTTTCTAATCCATTCTATTCTTTTCTATTCGGTTTTATTGTATTTTGTGCTGTTTTACTCTATTGTTTTCTAATCTATTCTATTATTTTCTATTACTTTACTTTCTATTCTATAAAACATATTCTACTTTTTTTGTTCTGTTGTACTCTATCCTATTCCTTTCCTTTCTATTCTATACTATTCTGTACTGTTTTACTCTTTTCTATTCTGTTTGATTTTATTCTATTTTTGAATTTCGGAAGACAGACATATTCCTTCTATTCTATTGAAATCTATTCTATTTTTTTTTTTTATACAATTAGATTCTATTCTTTTTATTTTCTATTCTCTTTTTTTTATTTTCTATTCTATCCTTTTAAATTTTATTCTATTCTTTTCAAAATGTAAATTTTGGAAGATGTCAATATTCTAACACTAATACACGCATGGATGGAAATCAGCAATAGTCAGCAGTATGATTACAGTTCAAATTTGTTTTCGAATTCGGTTAGAATTTGTTTCGCATTATTCCGGACTAAATTCTGTTCCGTTATTTTGGATTCGTTTAAATTCGTAATTTGAAAATTCGGATACATCCTAATAACAAAAATTTTGTTTGGAATTTCAATTCAAAAGGAACCGAACCGCACATGCCTAGCAATGGACTGAGACAAGCCCACACTATAGAGGGATGTGCTTTGTTCATATTTCAGGTCTGAGGTTTACAATCACTTGAAGGGAAGATTCCCAGCGTGCTGGTTCACCGATTCAGCCGGTTTGTAAGCTGATGGGTGCGTGGCTGGATTGGAAAATTCGGCATTATTTCTCTTTCAGGAGATGGCAGCTTTGAATGAAGATACTTATGAAATGAGGGATGAAGACCCCGCGGGGAGCAGTGAGGCTGTGGGCGATGAGGCACGTCATTTATACCACCCTCTTAATATAGGCCAAGATCAAATTAAAAGGCATTGATCTTGATTAGGAGTGCCACTTCAAAGACAGAGGACATTACCTGACTCCCCTCATGTACAAGTTCCAGGGGAATGGAGGGGACGATACGTGGCACTGCGCCTTGCAGCATTTTGTCAGTTTGCTGCCCGTGTATTATAATGAAGAAAAGATTTGTGATGATGATTAATAAAGCAAACAGAAAAGAACACTGTAAGGCAGCAGTAGTCAACTTAGTAAAAGATACATTTTTAGAGGTTCAAATATAGATTACTGTATCGCCCAATATATGGCTTCCATCCAGTAGCCAAAAAACATGCAGACCAAAAAGAGATTTGTGAAAAGAGATTCACAGGGAAAGCGGCTACATTATAAACAGAATGCGATACTCAGAAAAATTTCCAAAAATTATGCTTTATTACACATGAATGATTGACACTCGGGCAATCGCCCTGGTTTACCATCACCCCAGTATGAGACAATACACACAGACCTAAAACCATTAAAATCACACCAAGACCGGTCTGGATATATGTGCTGCAAAGGCTATGACCACCATAGTCTAAAGCATTTGCAGCACTGGCACATTGGTTACACTCCCTGTAGGAGGTGTATTCAAAAAATTATACCAAAGGTATATAATATCACATGCTATATATATATATAAGCATATATTATTACCACATATGTAGCACTCCCAAAAGGAGATTTTCCAAAAATTATACCATGGGTATATGTTCACATGCAGGCAAAAAAGACAGATACAGTTACCATCTGGAGAGAAGCATAACCCTAAGCCTATAAAAGGCAATGTGGGTATACCCTATAGAGGCACAAGTGGTTGGGACCCATTTATCTGAAATATACATGAATAGTTGTAAGGATTCTTATAGATGCAAAAATTCTTATAGATGAGAGTCTCTATAATTGTGTTGATGGAGGAATAGATGCAAATAGCAGAGGCCTGCTTTATATGGTTTCTTCACCACAACATGTGGACTGCAAACCACTTTGATATTTGAGACAAGATAAGGCCCAGTAGGTCTTCCACCTGTTGCAATATATGTAGTATGCCTTGTTTCTATATAAAGCACCATAATGTCCCCATCCTGTAATAAGACAAACGATATAAGAATAGTCACTCTCAGAGCTCTCACTCTATTATATATATAATATAAATCACAAGGAGCCTTTTTTCCCGTTAGTCC